AGCTCTACAACTTGGTGCGATTCAAGATGGGTGATTACATGATGCCCAAGATGGACCAGGTAACTTGGTGTGTCTTTGTGTCAACTGGGTGTGTCATCTGCTTCCCCTTTTAAGTTGGTTATTTGTCTTTTTTCAGTTTTATGCTATTATTGATGGTTAGTTATTTATATATTTATTTATTTATATGTTATTTTTTTATATATAAGTAAGAGTTTGCACATGTTCAGGTGACTGGAATCAATTTTCCTCCCACTGGTCTGATTGGCTGGGATTTTTTGGGGGGAGGGGAATCATAGAGTTGGAAGAGACCTCATGGGTCATCCAGTCCAACCTCATTCTGCCAAGAAGCAGGAATGTTGCATTCAAAGCACCCCCCGATAGATGGCCATCCAGCCTCTGCTTAAAAGCCTCCAAAGAAGGAGCCTCCACCACACTCTGGGGCAGAGAGTTCCACTGCTGAACAGCTCTCACAGTCAGGAAGTTCTTCCTCATGTTCAGATGGAATCTCCTCTCTTGTAGTTTGATGCTGGTAAACCTACCAGTCATCTGTTTTCTTTTTCACTCACTGTGGATGGGTGAATGTATCTTTAGGATTTTATAGAGTTTTGCTAAGCTAAGCAAAGAATACTCAGAAATAGTTTAGCCTGTTCCTTCATCTGAATTACAGTGTTCCCTCGCTACTTTGCAGACTCGCTGTTTCGCGGATTTCAAAAAATATTAATTCAAAATATACATAATAGTATTTTTGCTGTTTTGTGGGGTTTTGCCTCTGCTGCTCTCCAAGACACCTTCCCTCCTCAGTCCTCCCTCCCTCCAGCTTTGAAGGGCCTTTCCTTCCTTCCTTTCACTTTATTTTAAGTTTTAAAAGACTTAAAATAGTGTATAACTACTGAAATAATCTATATAAATAAAAATGTAATGTTCGTTTGTGGGATTAACATAACTCAAAAAGCACTGGATGAATTGCCACCAAATTTGGACACAGTACACCTACTACCCCAAGGAGTGACCATAACTCAAAAACATGGATTTTGTCATTAGGGAGTTGTAGTTGCTGGGATTTACAGTTCACCTACAAACAAACAACATTCTGAACCCCACCAATGATGGAATTGAACCAAACTTGGTACATAGGACTCCCACAACCAACAGAAAATTCTGGAAGGGCTTGGTGGGCATTGACCTTGAGTTTGGGAGTTCTAGTTCACCTACATCCGGAAAGCACTGTGGACTCAAACAATGATGGATCTGGACCAAACTTTCCTCGAATACTCCATAAGCCCAAATGTGAACACAGATGGAGTTTAGGAAAAATAGACCTTGACATTTGGGAGTTGTAGTTACTGGGATTTATAGTTCACCTACAATCTGAGAACATTCTGAACTCCACCAACGATAGATTTGGTCCAAACCTCCCATACAGAACCCCCTTGACCAATGGAAAATACTGTGTTTTCTGGTAGTCTTTGGCAACCCTTCTGACACCCCCTCATGCCCCCCCCCTCGGGGTCCCAACCCCCAGGCTGAGAAATGCTGCCTTAAGGTCATCAAATCCTACTCCTGTCACCAGGGCAAGATAACATAATCAAAGCCCTCTGGACAAAGAGCCATCCAGCTATAGATATAGATAGATATATATGTTTCACACACACACACATGTATATGACAGATATAATATCATAGATTTGAAAAGGACCCCTAAAGAAGGACAATTATATGTTCCATGTAGGCAAACCTGACAATCTCCACATCAACACTGACAAAGAAACAGCAAGAAGTACTGTTTACCCACAAGCATAAAGAAATTACATATATTAGAAACCAACTCTTTCTCATTACTTTTTCGAGATCACCAGACGGGGCCACAGCAACGCGTGGCAGGGGATGGCTAGTGTATAATTATTAAATTATAAATTAAATTATTAAATCATTAAATTATTAAAAGGGCAACTAAAATGATCAAGGGTCTGGAGAACAAGCTCTATGAGGAGTGGCTTAAGGAGCTGGGCATGTTTATTCTGAAGAAGAGAAGGCTGAGAGGAGATATTATAGCCATGTATAAATATGTAAGAGGAAGCCACAGGGAGGAGGGAGAAAGCTTGTTTCTGCTTCCTTGGAGACTAGGACGCGGAACAATGGCTTCAAACTACAAGAGAGGAGATTCCATCTGAACACGAGGAAGAACTTCCTGACTGTGAGAGCCGTTCAGCAGTGGAACTCTCTGCCCCGGAGTGTGGTGGAGGTTCCTTCTTTAGAAGCTTTCAAATAGAGGCTGGATGGCCACCTGTCAGGGGTGATTTGAATGCAATATTCCTGCTTCTTGGCAGGGGGTTGGACTGGATGGCCCATGAGGTCTCTTCCAACTCTTTGATTCTTTGATTCTATGATTCTAAAATAAATAGAGTATCCCTACATCGTGGTTTTTCACTTATTGCGGGAGGTCCTGGAACTTAGCCCCAGCAATAAGTGAGGGAACACTGTACACTATTACTTATTTATTTACCACATTTCTACCTCGCCTTTCTCACCCCTGGGTTAATTCAAAACTTAATTCAGACAAGATGGAAGAGGCCTTTGTCAGATTAGGGAACAGGGATTAAGCTTGTGCTGGATAGGGTTACACTCTCCTTGAAGATGCAGGTTCTCCACTTGAGAGTGCTCATGGATTCAATTCTGAGCCTGGAAGTTTGGGTTTCAGCAGTGGTCAGGAGTGCATTTGAACAGTGAATGCTTGCATACCAGCTGCACCCATTCCTGGAGACATCAGATCTGGCCATGATGACACATACCAATGTGACAGCCAGACTCAAAGGGTGCTTATCAAATGGCTCTTCTTCATCCTGGGAGAAGTGACTAGTAGGGCGGTGCAAGGTTCTGCCTGTGCCTTGTGCTATTAACCATTTTTATCAAAGGCTAGCTAAAATGAGAACACACTACATCCACAACACTCCTTTCATCTACCAAGCTTGTAACTTTATTAAAAAAAGAGATAAGATTACTCTGTCATGACTTGTTTTTGCAAAACTAACATTAACTTTTAGTGATAACAGAAATAATAATAATAATAATAATAATAATAATAATAATAACTAGCTGTCCCTTGCCACGTGTTGCAGTGGCCCAGTCTGTTGATCTGAAAAATAAAGTAATGAGAAAGTGTTGGTTTCTAATATATGTAATTTCTTTCTGGGGAGGGAGTTCCACAGCTGAGGAGCCACTACAGAGAAGACCCTCTCTCTCGTCCCCACCAGTCGTGTCTGTGAAGGTGGCATGACAGAGAGCAGGGCCTCCCTGGTTGATCTTAATGTCCTTGGTGGTTCATACCATTATGTTTGGGTTTTGAGATCTTTGGGAAGAGGCACACCATTAGCCACCACGGAGTAGGCCCTGTCTTGTCCCCACCAGTTGTGTCTGCAAAGATGGCATGACTGAGAGCAGGGCCTCCCCAGTTGATCCTAATGTCCTTGGTGGTTCGCACCATTATGTTTGGGTTTTGAGATCTTTGGGAAGGGGCACACCATTAACCACCACGGAGTAGGCCCTGTCTCTCGTCCCCACCAGTCTTGACTGCGAAGGTGGCGGGACTGAGAGCAGAGCCTCCCCAGTTGATCTTAATGTCCTTGGTGGTTCGTACCATTATGTTTGGGTTTTGAGATCTTTGGGAAGGGGCACACCACTAGCCGCTTTAGAACTTTTTCAAGTCACTTCTCATCCATTCATGGACAACACCTCCAAAGTAACTTCTTGAGCACGCACTAGGTCTTTCATGGCCCCGCCCAACCACCCCCAGGTTTACTGTCACGTTTCTGGCCTCACTTTCTGACCCTCTGGACCAATGCTGCCTTTCCCATTGCCTGTCTTCTACATGTAGGATTCGCTCAGCAAAAGCCTCTGTCTCTGTTACCAGTACCTCTATCAGAGCAGTCAGAACTACGCTACAGTCATCATCCAGACACTCAATGGGGAGCTGCGGTGAGTTGGGGCATGTGTGTGTTCATCTGTGAATTTGTCTCGAGAAGAAAAAGGGAAAGTTATTCCTCTTATGGGAAGCCCAAACACTCTATGTGTCAATTGGGCTGCCAAGAGAAGTATATTCTATAAACAGGATGCAAGAGCTCAGAAGTTTTTCTTCCATGTCCTTTACAATATTCCACCCATGTCTTTCTAAAGAGCATTAGAAGCTCAAGCTTGTTTTATGCAACACCAGAGGTTTGTGCTGAAGAACTGAGCAATCCTAGAAAACTGTTGGTTCTAGGTTTCCAGTCCAATACTATAATCAACTTTCAGTGGATGTTCCTGTTTGAAATGTTTAAAAGCAATGCTTTTTGGTTTGGAAAGATTAGCCATTTACAAGAAATTTTGCCCAGGAGATGGCCAACTGTATTTACTCAGTCTTCGAGGAGGCTCTGTTTGGCACAAATCTGTCCACACGAAGCAGGTGAACATAGCATTGAACGAAACATGCAGAATAATCAGAGGATGTCTTAAACTTACACCTGTTGATCAACTCTACAAGCTGCATTGTCCCCTCTGATGTGCGATGGGAAGTTCCTACTAACTGTGAGAGAAATAAGATTGAACACTGTGCTGGTACGGCTGTACCAGGGGCTCCAACTTTATTTTCTTTCTGTTATCTGCTTTGTATCAAATGTTTGCTTGCAGTCATAGGACAGGCCACCTGTCAATCATAATTAAGCTTTGGTTCCACCCCTTGTTCAGGGCTCTGGGAGGGAAAGGAGCCATTTTTTGAGCAGTCTCACTTAAGGAAGCTAAGTTATAGGACGTAGACCTGTTCATCCCGTAGAAAAGCATCCTTTCTCAGTAACATCCAGGGAAACAAAAATTCCAGGAAAAAAGGTCCCAAAGCTCTGGCTGAGAGCTCACAGCCTCTCAGCTTCACAGCATCAGAGGGAAAACAGCCCTGAAGTTTCAAAGAATTCTCGGAGGGAGGAGAGCACTACAGAACCACGGAACTCCAGCTGAAATATCTGCAAGCTTCGGCTGGTAGGTCTACTCGATGCCCAGATGAATTTGGAATCGGTAGTACTACCCACATCAACGAGGCCTAGATAATAGACAGCCTAGGAGAGGTTAAAAAGGGTTTTTTTTCTTACAAAAAAAAGTACAGTTAATCAAAGTCAAGTACCAGTCCATTGAGGACTAGACTAAGAAAGCCTTGAAGTGTTGTTTGAACCATTGAAGATTTGTTGTTTGTTCCCTAATAAAGACTTTGTTGTATCATCAAAGACTCTAAAGACCATCCTTTCAGAAAAATCCCTGAGAATCTCTCTTTGAGGCACCCCGGCTTCCCACTGGGCTTAAAGTATACGTCCTATACAAAGACAGGCCCAGCGCGCGACAGAACAAACACTGTGAAAGCCACCCACTGCATGGCTATCAGGCTTCACCCAGTAGATTCAAATCAAGGAAAATCTTCATGAGAACCACCGCTCCTCTTAACATTCCCCCAGCAACAGTCTCTCTGGGAAGCCAAACCATGAAAACCCATGAGGGTCTGCCTCTGGGGGCAAACCAAGAATGGGCAACTTGGAAGTCCCTGAAAGTGTTGAAGAACTGGCTAGGTGTCCTGGGAAGGAAGAAACACCTGGGTGTGTCATCTGCTTTCCCCTTTTAAGTTGGTTATTCATCTTTATTCTTATAGCTATATGCTATTATTGATGGTTAGTCTATATAAATAAAAATGTAATGTTCGACAATACAATGTAATGTTTGTTTGTGTGATTAACATAACTCAAAAACCAGTGGATGAATGGACACCAAATTTGGACACAATCAGGCCAACGAGTGACCATCACTCATAAAAACACAACAGAAGTATTGAGTATTCATGCCAAGTTTGGTCCAGATCCATCACTGTTTGTCCAGAGTGCTCTCTGGATGTAGGTGAACTACAACTCCAAAACTCAAGGTCAATGCCCACCAAACCCTTTTGGTATTTTCTGTTGATCATGGGACTTGTGTCAAATTTGGTTCAATTCCATCGTTGGTGGAGTTCAGAATGCTTTTTGATTGTAGGTAAACTATAAATGACAGCAACTATAACTTCCAAGTGACAAAATAATTTGTGCCAAATTTGGTCAAGTGAATGAAAATACATCCTGCATATCAGATATTTACATTACGATTCAGAACTGTAGCAAAAATTACAGTTATGAAGTAGCAACAAAAATGATGTTATGGTTGGGGGTCACCACAACATAAGGAACTGTATTAAGGGGTCACGGCATTTGGAAGGTTGAGAAACACTGCTATAAGGGTCATGCTGTACTCTGGAGTAGTTTTGATAGTTTCTTCCTTTGGAATACTGACTGCACCATGTGGCATTTGTTGGAATCCAAGTCACAGGTGATCTTCATATCTCTCAATCTTCTCCCCCAGCCATGCGGTTTGCATCTTTTATTTGGTCCTCCGGGCTCTGGACACTGTGGAGGATGACATGACGATCAGCTTGGAAACCAAGATCCCCATTTTACATAACTTCCATTCCTACCTGTATCAGCCCAGCTGGCGATTCATGGACAGCAATGATAAGGACAAACAAGTGCTGGAAGATTTCCCAATGGTGAGCTATTGCCCCCATACTTTAATCTCGACTTTATATGCCTATGTAGACTGTATGGAAGCATTAGCTGATCCACTATCTGCCAGTTTGTTTCCAGGCACAAACTGGTCATATGGTTCAGGTCTAGGCTACTTGGCAAATCATATCTCAAGGTACAAACCAGCCCAGGGCCTGAAATCCTCAGGATTGGCTAAAACCTTTCTTTTCAGGCAGGTTTCTGCAAGTCGCTTCTGATGTGAGGGAATTGGCGTCTGCAAGGAAGTTTGCCCAGTGGACACCCGGATGTTTTACCATCCTCTGGGAGGTTTTTCTCAAGTCCCTGCGTGAGAAGCTGGAGCTGACAGATGGGAGCTCACCCTACTTCCCGGATTCAAACCACCTACCTTTCGATCAGCAGACCTGCTGGCACAAGGGTTAACCCACTGCGCCACTGGGGGCTCCTGATCGGGGGTGATGTGTAGTGTTTTATGTATGTTAGTAGGCTTTTTAATGGTTTTGACTCTCTATTTTAAAATAGTTTTTGGTTTAATACTATTGTAATGTTGATAATATTGAAAACAATATTGAAATGCAGTAAGATTGATCTAGATTAAAAGAAAAAGTCTAGGGAGATAGATGAAAAAGAAAAGATTAAATTACAATAACTGAATTTTAATAAAATATCCCAATTATTAGTATTAATATCACTTGTGGGTAAATATTAATTTTAACTATATTTGTTTATATTTAGCAGAAGTTAAACCAATGAGAAGAGAAGTATATTATAATACTTTGACCTTAACTTGATGGAGGGAGAAATTCACTATGTTTTTATGTATTTTTAATTTTTATTTAATTTGCTTTTTTTAAAAAAAGAATGGGGCTAGAGGAGTTGCAGGAAGTTATTTTAATGTTTATTTCATTTCATTTTAATTGGGTTTTTAAAATGTATCCTTTTAAAAACATAATAAAAATGTGTTTATAACATTTCACAATGTGGATTGCTTGACATGTATTGGAATCATCACGGATGTGGCATGAGAAGTATTTGGAAAATTTGCTAGACTTGTTGCACAGATAAAGGAAATGACGCTGTCGGTGGCTTGATAGCATTTGCTGCAGACATAAGGAAGCTCCTGTCTCTAAAAAGGTGGAGAGAAAAGCTAAAAGAGTCCTAAAATGGACCAGTAACAATTGAATTCAAGACGTTTTGAGTAGTTTTGCAAAGATATGAACAGTGAATATCATCAACTTTTGATACACAGTGAAATTCATTGGCTATCATGAGAGGAAGTTTTGTCTTGTTTGAATAGAAAAACAGATTAAAATAATCATAGCTGTTAGATATCTATTCACTACTTTTTGCACAAAATTTCAAATATTTGCAGCACACCTAATGTGAATGTTTTCTGATTCTTGATGCAAGCAAAAAAAAAGTTTCAGGTATAATAAAGCTTGTAAGTGAAATGCAGCTTTCTTATTAGTTAGCTAGTTAAATTTTCCAAATGATATATTGTCGAAGGCTTTCATTGCCAAAATCACTGGATTGTTGTAGGTTTTTTCATTTTCATTCCAACAACCACCATGTCAGATTACACAGAGAAGCCATTGAAATCCACAAGCATGTGGACAATTTCAACAGAAAGGAGGAAACCATGAAAATGAACAAAATCTGGCTACCAGTATTAAAAAACTCAAAAATTGCAACAGCACAACAACAGAGAGGAAGCAGGCAGGGACATCTAATCACCTCTCAACAAAAGATTGCTCCAGGCACTGCCAGGCCATCAAATGCTAATCAAGGTGGTCAGTTGAAACATTCACACCTAGCTCCAGCAGACAAGAGCCCTTTGTCCCACCCTGGTCATTCCACAGATATATAAACCCTTTCCCCTAGTTCCAACAGACCTCACTACCTCTGAGGATGCTTACCATAGATGCAGGCGAAACATCAGGAGAAAATGCCTCTAGAACATGGCCATATAGCCCAAAAAAACCTACAACAACCCAGTTTCCAAATGATATTTGATCATGGTTTGCGATTCAGGTATTGTTATTGTTATTTTAAGTTTTTTTAAATTGAAGCATTCTAATTAAAATATCATTATAGGAGTGTATGCACTGATATATGTTTCCCTTCTCTCCAAACTGGAAAACCCTTGGTGAGCAACATTAAATCAATGTTTGATATGATCTTGAGTTGAGTCTTGGTAGTCTGTTTTGGGAATTAGCAGTTTTCCCTTGTGCCCTAGATCTCCTTGGAGTTCCGCAAGCTGTCGAAGGTCTATCAGGATGTCATTGCTGACATTTGCCGCAAGATGGGCCTCGGGATGGCGGAGTTCTTGGAGAAGAAGGTGGAATCTGAAGAAGACTGGGACAAGGTCAGCGGCAATCTTTCATGGTGGATGTAACTCTTTGATTGGCTGAAGTGGGGTGACAATGTGGTGCATTTTCAAAAATATTTACACTAGTACACAAGTTTTAACCACATACAACCACATTTAAGAAATAATAAATAATCAAAGCAAAGCAAAGAAATCACAATAGTACCTACACTTACTTACTTACTTAGGTGATTCCTCGTAGCTTGAGGATGATGGTCTTTCAGATGTGGTGTCTTGGTGGTAGGTCCGTAGGTGGCTGTGGAGCCCTATTCTTGATCTGCATGTTCTCTCACAGTGAGGACATCGGCTTCCAGGTTGAAGGCATTCCTGGTCAGGGTTGGCTTGACGTGCCTTCCTCTTGGCATGTTTCTCCCTTTCGCCCTCAATTTGTGCCTCTTTGAATTCTGCAGCACTGTTGGTCACAGCTAACCTCCAGTTAGAATGCTCAAAGGCCAGGGCTTCCCAGTTCTCGGTGACTATGCCGCAATTTTTAAGGTTGGATTTAAGCCCATCTTTAAATCTCCTTTACTGTTTAGTCTAAGACTAGACTAAACTAAAATAAACTAGACATTCTGGGTTTATATATATATATTTCCAACTTGCCCAATCAAAGGTGATTTAATAATTCTACAACTATCTTGATTAAAGTCTTAATCATACTAATTTAAGCATTACTTCTATATACATAAAGTTATCTATTGCTTGTGACCCCCTGGTGGCACAGCGGGTTAAACAGCTGAGCTGCTGAAATTGCTGACCGAAAGGTCAGTGGTGCCAATCCAGGAAGGGGGTGAGCTCCTGCTGTTAGTCCCACCTTCTGACAACCTCACAGTTCCAAAACATGCAAATATGAGTAGATCAATAGGTACCACTTCTGTGGGAAGATAATGGAGCTCCATGCAGTCATGCTGGCCACATGACCTTGGAGGTGTCTATGGACAACACCGGCTGTTTGGCTTCGAAATGGAAATGAGCAACACCTTCCAGAGTTGGACATGACTAGACTTAATGCCAAGGGGAAGCCTTGACCTTTTTTTAATCTATTGCTTTAAAACGGCTTAGAGCTAACTGAGAAATACACTTCAATGTATTGATGAAGATTTTCATGGCCAGAATCACTGGGTTGTTGTAGGTTTTTTCGGGCTATATGGCCAAGTTCTAGAGGCATTTTCTCCTGACGTTTTGCCTGCATCTATGGCAAGCATCCTCAGAGGTAGTGACGTCTGTTGGAACTAGGAAAGAGGGTTTATATATCTGTGGAATGACCAGGGTGAGACAAAGGACTCTTGTCTGTTGGAACTACCTCTGAGGATGCTTGCCATAGATGCAGGCGAAATGTCAGGAGAAAATGCCTCTAGAACATGGCCATATAGGCCAAAAAAACCTACAACAACCCAAATACACTTCAGTTTCATAAATTCCATCAGTAAACTCTAATCCAATTTTTAAAAAGCATCTACTAACTTATCTCTGACAAACAGTGTTAACATACCCATCTCTGCACATTCTTGAATTTTCAGTATCCAATTCTCTACCATTTTTGTTTAAAAACTCCAAAAACACCTGTTCCACACAGGGCCTGGGGGTGTGAAGAGGAATTTCACCATATTTTTAAGCTTCATATGCAACCCTAAAGAGTCCACCCTGCCCTAAAACTTGACTGTTTTGAACCTCTCTAGTACTGCCATTACGTCGCTGGTCTGGTGGGGATCGGCCTCTATCAGCTCTTCTCTGCATCCAAGCTGGAGGTCCCTGTTGGTGACCAGGACACGGAGCTTGTAAACTCCATGGGGGTTTTCCTGCAGAAAATCAACATCATTCGGGATTATCACGAAGACCTACTTGTGGGCAGAGAGTTTTGGCCTCGAGAGGTAAGGAAAATGAGGGTGAGGCAGACATCAGAGAAGGAATTATTGCTGAGTAGTTGATGGTGTGATCTTGTGTTTGTGTTCTGTTGTGCTCTGGGCCTGTAAAGAATTTCCTTTAGAACAGGACGTGCAACCTTTGCCCAGCGGGAAGCCCAAGGAGAAGTTCTCAGAGGTTTTCCACCACAAATGACCTTTAGATGGCTTGTGAAGTATAACAAAGTCTTTTATTAATGAACAATCAAACAGAAATGTCTGTTATCTTCAATAAAGCTAAACAAATGCTTCCAGGCCTTATGCAATTGGTGACTTCCTAATCTTGCCCACTAAGGACAGGCAACTGTCTTCAATAACTTCTTCTTTACTTTAAAGGAAAATCCCCTTTTTAACTTCTCCCAGACTGACTGTAATCTAACCCTTAGTGATGTGGGCTCGAACTGCGTCTCGAACGCCGAGTGAACCTACCAGTAAGGCAGTATACTCTCCAGCTGGAGTTTTTGGTCTTTAGGGCTGTTTTCCTGGACATCTTTGGAGACTCTTAAGACTGTTTCCCCCCAGAAAGTCTTAATGCTCTTAAGACTGTTCTCCCCCGGAAAATCTTGATGCCCTTAAGACTGTTTTCCCCTGGAAAATCTTAAGGGTTAAAGCTTTTGTACAGGGGAAGCTTGCACACATCCTGTACATTAGTTTTCCTTCCTGAGACTAACTAACTAAAAAATGGCTCCCTTCCTTTCCCAATAGCCCTGAGCAAGGGGTGTAACCAAAACTTAACGATGATTGCCCTATGACTGCAACCAAAGGAAGCCACCTTTCTGCAGAACCCCTGAAACCCTGAATTGCAAGCAAACACTCAATAGAAAGCAAATAAAGTGGGAGCTCCTGGTACAGCCGTACCAGCACAGTTTGGGTTTACAGCATCTTGAGTCACTGATTTGTTTATTTCCTCAGTTCATAGAATCAGAGTTGGAAGAGACTTCGTGGGCCATCCAGTCCAACCCCCTGCCAAGAAGTGCCCCGGAGTGTGGTGGAGGCTCCTTCTTTGGAGGCTTTTAAACAGAGGCTGGATGGCAATCTGTCAGGGGTGCTATGAATGCAATTTTCCTGCTTTTTGGCAGGGGGTGGACTGGAAGGCCCATGAGGTCTCTTCCAACTCTTTGATTCTATGACCATGGACTGTAGAAGTGATGTTGAAAGTCTACATGTGGCCAGTAGGCCACGTTTTGCCCATACTCGTTTGGTCATGTGAATGTTGGATGAGGATTCTGCACAACCATGATTCAAATCTCCACTCAGCCATGGAGATCCATTGAGTGACTGCCAGTGGAAGATCATGGAAAACCTCTGAAGGAATCTTAGTAAGCATGCCCTACAAAAGGGTCACCATAGGACAGAGTACGCTTAAAGGTGCATGATAACAACACAAGACAAAATGCATTGTGCAAATTAGAATGGCTGAACTCTTTGGTCTCAGTGTTTATTAGGGAAAGAGATAAAATGGCAGATTTCTTGTTGTGACATTGCAACATCCCACCCAGTTCTGGTTGGACAGCATTTCTAACCCTTTGAGTGTTCCCAGGTGTGGAGCAAATATGTACAGAAGTTGTCGGATCTGGCCAAGCCTGAGAACATTGACAAAGGTGTCCAGTGTTTTAATGAGCTCATCACCAATGCCCTGCACCACATCCCGGATATCTTGACATATCTGTCACAACTGAGGAACCAGAGTGTGTTCAAGTTCTGTGCCATCCCCCAGGTAGGTTGGATAGTCCCTATGGGACTTTGCCCCTTTGTGGGTCTTTTCACATTGCACAGTGACAACATTATGATTCCCTTAACTTTACTTCAGATACAAGCTCTCTTTGAGGTTTTAATGCTTTATTAAAGAAAACAAAGGCAAGTTACTGTATTCCATTTAGTGTCAGAACTGCCAAGCACTGCAAGCTTCATATATTGATAGGTAGCACAATTCTTTCTCCCTTTTCTTGCATAATATTCCCCCATTAGTCAGAATGCAGTATACTTTTTGTGTGTGTATTTTTTTTCCTTCTTGGTAATCAAAGAGCAGGATCAAGCCTAGTTGGTACTTGGATGGGAGACGGGCACAATGCTCTTGGCTATATTTAGTGGGAGGAATTGGGAAAACCACCACAGAGTATTTCTTGCATTTCCACCCCCCCTATGAAAAAATTGTGACTTTTCAGGCCAAATTACAGCAGGACTCTTTTTTTGTGGTTTCTGCCACCTTCCCCCCTTCCAGGTAAAAGGCATTGCCACCTTGGCAGCCTTCTACAACAATCCGCAGGTCTTGCAAGAAGTGGTGAAGATCCGGAAGGGGCAAGCTGTCACGCTAATGATGGATGCCACCAACATCCAGGCTGTCAAAGCCATCACGTTCCAGTACATGGAAGAGGTGAGTTAATGTCAGTGTCAGAGTAATTTTTTTTTAGAAAAGAACACATTGTAGTAAACAGAGTACTTTGGCCACATCATGAGGAGACAGCAAAGCCTAGAGAAGACAATTATGCTGGGGAAAGTGGAAGGCAAAGGGAAGAGGGGCCGACCAAGGGCAAGATGGATGGATGGCATCCTTGAAGTGACTAGACTGACCTTGAAGGAACTGGGGGTGGTGACGGCCGACAGGGAGCTCTGGCGTGGGCTGGTCCATGAGGCCACGAAGAGTCGGACACGACTGAACAAATAAACAACAAGTAAACAGAGTAGATCCTCTATATCACTTGTGGAACAGAAAGTGTTGTTTACATTCCCTCTTCTTTGTTCTTTCTAGTTGGGTTTCCCAATAGAATCTCGCCTATCCCTTTCCTTTGTTGTCAATGCCCTTTAGATTGAATTGTTCTTTCTGTATGCCTTCAGGTCTTTTCTATTTTACAGTGACTTCTAAAGCTAAGAGTGTGTGGAGCGGTATACAAATAAAGGTTTATTATTGTTAATAATAATAATAATAATAATAATAATAATAATAATAATAATAATACAATTCTCTTTTTACCATCTTGGGAGTGGATTTTTTGGATTGGATTTTGTTGGATGTTCCCCCAGATTGTTCTTCATTGTTCTGGAACAGCTGTACCAGGAACTCCAATTTTGTTTGCTTTGCATTGAATGTTTGTTTGTAGTCCTAAGTTTCAGGGACTCTTTTGGCTGCAGTCATAGGGCCGGCCACCTGTCCGTCATCGTTAAGTTTTGGTCCTGCCCCTTGCTCAGGGCAATTGGGAAGGGAAGTGGGACATTTTGTTAGTTAGTCTCAGCCAGGTTAGCTTATGTATAGGATGTGTGTAACTTCCCCTGTACAAAAGCTTCAAACTTTAAGAACTCCAGGGAAGCATTTCTACAGCTTTAAGAATTTCCAGGAAAACAGCCTTAAAGACTAGAGAACTCCAGCTGGAGAATATCCACTGCCTTGCTGGTAGGTCCACTCGGCGTCCGAGAAGCAGTTCGGCCCGGTAGCAGAGCCCACATCAGTGAGGGTTGGATTTCAGTCAGCCTGGGAGAAGTTAAAAAGGGGAATTTTCCTTTAAAGAAAAGGTTATTGAAGATAGTGCCTGTCCCCTGTGGACAAGATTGAGGGAGCCAATGGTTTATCAAGAAAGCCTTGAAGTACCTGTTTGATTTCATTATTACACATCCTATATTTAAAGTCAACCAAATACAGGCCCAGCGCGTGACAGAATAGCTCATAATCAGCATGTTGAATTGCTCAAATAGGGAATTTCCATTTTTAACTCCAATACGTGTTAAATGTTGAGCTGAGAAGTCTGCTTCTTAATGGATGTTGTCTCTTCTCTTGGTAGATTTACCAGAAAATCCCCAGCATGGATCCTTCTTCCAGCAGAACCCAACAAATTGTCACTTCTATCTGTTCGTTGTGTTCACCCAGAAGGACCCTTGTCCCACGAACCCATTACTCCCTCGGCTACTTGTCCTGCGCTATGGTTTTGACAGCCCTAGCCTGGCAGTATCTAAGCACAGTGTCCAAGGCGGCTTAAGAAGACTGACACTCAGGCAAGAACTGAGGAGGGAGGTGTTCTGGCACGGCAGTACCAGGAGCTCCAACTTACCTTTCCTTTGTTGAGTATTTGCATGTATTCTAACGTTCTATGCATTTTACAATTAGGTGGCTTTCCTTGATTTGCAGTTATTAGGCCAATGACCCCTCAGTCATCGTTGGGTTCTCTAGTTCCGCCCCCTTTTGGGTTTTGGGAGGGAAAGGGAGCCATTTTGGCTCAGTCCACACAGAGAAGTCTTCGTACAGGACGTAAATCAGGTCCTCCTGTAGAAAGCTTCGTCTTTTACAGCTTGGCTGGGGGAATACAGTCTCAGCATAGCCTTTGCTGGGAATTTACAGCCTTATAGCTCCTTTACTGAAGGGATCCAGCTCTACAGCACTACAGCCAGCCATTGCTGGGAACTGAAAGTCTACAAAGGACTCTGTCTGGTAAGGGCCACTCGCAGCAGCAAGAAGCAGTTGGTACTGGGTGTAGGGGTCCCACGCCAGCAAGGGCTGAGACAGACTGCCCAGATAGAGGTTAAGGATTTCCCCGATAGCGAAGAAACACTTTATGAAGATAGTTGCCTGTCCCCTGTGGACAAGATTGAGAAAGCCACCAATTGGTTAAGAAAGCCTTGAAATAGTTGTGTTTTATAGAAGACCTTAGCAATAATAAAAAACTTTGTTCAACCTTTAAGCAATCTAAAGACTCTGTTTAAGGAAATCCTAAAGCTTCTCATCTGAGGCAGCCCCGGCGTCCCGTTGGGCACTACAGTCTCTTGCACAGGCCTAGTGAGTGACAGCACAGGAGGGATGGCTTTATTTTCAAAATTCATTTTTATTAGGTCTTCAAAACTGGAACTTACATCCAACAAAGTGAAAATAAATTAATGAAAAAACAGATATAAAAATAGAAAATGAAACAAAAGGATCAAATACAGAAATAACCTCAGAGCATTCCTTCAATACAACCCCCCCCCACACACAATGTTACCAAATAAAACCAACAAATAATCTCTATCCCGCACTATTTATTTATTTTATTTATTGTGTCAGAAGCAAATTGGGAATACAGCTATAATGTTAAAAAAAACCCCACAAAGTAAAAACTTGGCATTATACTAAATTTCCTTTGAACAGAAACTGGCCACTTGGAATGCTTTGTGTCGCTGTGAGAAGGTTCTGCATTGTGCATGTGGCAGGGCCCAGGTTGCATTCTAGTAAGTGGTCTGTGGTTTGCTCTTCTACACACTCGCATGTCATGGATTCGACTTTGTAACCCCATTTCTTAATATTGGCTTTATCTCGTGGTGCCTTCCAAGTCGCCCAGTCTTCTGTGTGCCCAGGAGGGAGTCTTTCATCTGGTATCAGCCATTAATTGAGGTTCCAAGTTTTGGCCTGCCACTTTTGGACTCTTGCTTGCTGAGGTGGTCCTGCAAGTATATCTGTAGATCTTAGGAAGCTGTTCCTAGATTTAAGATGTTGACATGCTGGCTGAGATCCATACAGATGATAGGCTGGAGATGTCAATGTCTTGGTCCTTTCATTACTGGCTTTGCATCATAGTCCTAGAGTTGGCAGAGACCTCATGGGCCATCCAGTCCAACCCCCTGCCAAGAAGCAGGAAAATCACATTCAAAGCACCTCCGACCATCCATCCTCTGTTTAAAAGCATCCAAAGAAGGAGCCTCCACTACACTCCAGGGCAGAGAGTTCCACTGCTGAACAGCTCTCACAGTTACGAAGGTCTTCCTGATGTTCAGGTGAATCTCCTTTCCTCTAGTTTGAAGCCATTGTTCCATTGTATCCTAATTTCCAAGGCAGCAGAAAACAAGCCTGCTCCCTCCTCCCTCTAACTTCCCATCACACATTTATCCATGGCCCTCATCATGTCTCCTTTCAGTCTTCTCTTCTGCAGGCTTAACATGCCCAGCTCTTTCAGCCACTCCTCATAGGGCTTGTTTTCCAGACCACTGATCATTTTAGTCACTGTCCTCTGGACACATTCCAGCTTAGAGGCAACATCTCCCTTCAATTGCGGTGCTCAGAATTGGACACTGTGTGATTCCAGGTGTGGTCTGACCAAGGCAGAAAAGAGGGGTTGCAGGATTTCCCTGGATCTAAATACTATACTCCTATTTATGCAAGCCAAAATCCTATAGGCTTTTTAAGCTGCCGCATGACATTGTTAGCTCATGTACAACTTGCTGTCCATGAGGACTCAAAAAAAAAAAAAGGTAAAAAATAAGTTGAGTGATGTAGGCCTTTTGTCTCTAAATACTTGTATGTCATCCTGACATCAATGGATCATAAGAAGAAAGATCCACTGGTCTTTTGTCATGCTTTCTGTGAGGAATCCATTTGGTGCCAGCTGATAGTATATGCCACACTGTAGATCTGACTCTGAGATTTCACTAAAAAAAAAACATAGTGGACAAAGGCTGCCTTAACAGCTGCTGGGATCAAAATGTTAAGTGTACCTCCAAGGAGAATAGTTAGAGGGAAAAGATTGAGATCATGATTGTAGCCTTTGAAGATGATTGTGAAACCATAACCTGGAAAAACATTCATTTGAGACAAAGGAAATGTTGATGGCCTCTAATCCCTGCACAGGTTTGACAATGCATTGTCCCAGTCTAAATGTCTCTCAGAAGCTTTGTTATTAGATTCTTGTAGGTTTTTTCGGGCTATAGGGCCATGTTCTAGAGGCATTTCTCCTGACGTTTCGCCTGCATCTATGGCAAGCATCCTCAGAGGTAGTGAGGTCTGAGGATGCTTGCCATAGATGCAGGCGAAACGTCAGGAAAAATGCTTCTAGAACATGGCCACATAGCCCGAAAAAAACCTACAAGAACCTAGTGATTCCAGCCATGAAAGCCTTCGACAATACAGCTTTGTTGTTGTTTATTTGTTCAGTCTCTTCCGACTCTTTGGGACCTCATGGACCAGCCCACGTCAGAGATTCCTGTTGGCTGTGGCCACCCTCAATTCCTTCAAAGTCAAGCCAGTCACTTCAAGGATACCATCCATCCATCTTGCCCTTGGTTGGCCCCTCTCCCTTTTTCCTTCCGGTTTCCCCAGCATAATTGTCTTCTCTAAGCTTTCCTGTCCTCTCATTATGTGGCCAATGGAGCTCCTGGTGGTGCAGTGAGTTAAACCCCTGTGCTGGCAGGACTGAAGACTGACAGGTCGCAGGTTTGAATCCGGGGAGAGGCGGATGAGCTCCCTCTATCAGCTCCAGCTCCTCATACGGGGACATGAGAGAAGCCTCCCACAAGGATGATAAAAACATCAAATCATCCGGGCGTCCCCTGGGCAACATCCTTGCAGACAGCCAATTTTCTCACACCAGAAGCGACTTGCAGTTTCTCAAGTCGTTCATGTCACGACAAAAAAAAAAGTGGCCAAATACTTCATCTTTTACTCTAATCTCCTTCCCTCCAGTGAGCATTTGGGCTTTATTTCCTAGAGTATGGACTAGTTGGATCTTCTCGCAGTCCAAGGCACTCACAGAATTTTCCTCCAACACCACAGTTCAAAAGCATCTCTCTTCCTTCGCTCAGCCTTCCTTATAGTCCAGCTCTCTCGTCCATAGGTTACTACGGAGAATACCATTGCTTTAACTATATGGATCTTCGTTGCCAGTGTGATGTCTCTACTCTTCACCTTTTTATCAAGATTGGTCATTGTTCTCCTCCCAAGAAGGAAACATCTCCCGATTTCCTGGCTGCAGTCTGCATCTGCAGTAATCTTTGCACCTAGAAATACAAAGTCTATCACTGCCTCCATGTTTTCTCCCTCTATTTGCCAATTATCAATCATTCTTGTTGCCATAATCTTGGTTTTTTTAAATGTTGAACTGCAACCCAGCTTTGGCACATTCTTCTTTCAGCTTGAATGGAAAGCTCCTCAGCTCCTCCTCAGCTTTCAGCCATCAACGTGGTATCATCTGTATATCTAAGGTTGTTAATGTTTAACTCCAGCCTCGGATTCATCAAGCCCCCCATGTCACATGATGTGTTCTGCATACAAGTTGAATAGGTTGGGTGAGAGTATACAACCCTGCCGTACTCCTTTCCCAATCTTGAACCAGTCTGTTGTTCTGTGGTCTGTTCTCACTGTTCCTACTTAGTCGTTATACAGATTTCTCAGGAGACAGACAAGGTGGCTTGTTTCCTCGTACCACCAAGAACTTATCACAATTTTTTTTGCTCTCACAATTGTTTTTGTAGTAAAAAAAATATCCTGTTTTATAAACTCTCTTAAGTCTTGGCAAATGAAAATGATGTGTTTGATGTTTTGAAACTAGAAGACAAGGCAATGGATTTAAATTTATTTATTTATTTATTTACTTCATTTATATACCACTTTTCCCAGCCCTCAGGCGACTCAAAGCTGTTAACAACAGCAAAATTCAATGCAAAAACATCACAAAACGAATATGGGACAGTTAAAAACAGTAGCATCATCAACGATTAAACATCAGTATAACAATCATTAGCGTCTCATCAGTAAAATCAGAATCCAATCTCATCATCCATTATTCCGTATTCCTATATTCAATTACACTGCTTAATTGAATGCTTGTTTGAACAGCCTGGTCTTCATTTTCCTCCGAAACGCCAACAGGGAGGGAGCCGATCTGATATCTGTAGGAAGGGCGTTCCACAGCCCAGGGGCCACCACTGAGAAGGCCCTGCCTCTCATCCCCACCAGGTGCACCTGTGATGCAGGTGGGACTGAGAGCAGGGCCTCCCCAGATGATCTTAATGTCCTAGTTGGTTTATAGGAGGAGATGCGTTCGGAGAGGTAAGTAGGGCCAGAACTGTTTAGGGTTTTATAGGCTAACGCCAGAACTTTGAATTGTGCCCGGTAGCAAACTGGCAGCCAGTGGAGCTGTTGCAACAGAGGAGTAGTATGCTCTCAGTACTGCTCCTGTTAGCAACCTGGCTGCCGAATGCTGGACCATTTGAAGCTTCCAAGCAGTCTTCAAAGGCACCCCCACGTAGAGAGTGTTGCAGTAGTCTATACGGGATGTAACCAGAGCGTGGACTACCATGGCCAAGTCAGACTTCCCAAGGTATGGGCAAGAAAAGAGGTTCTTTGTAGAATTGATGCAATTTAACTGTTGTGGCTCAGTGCGGTGGAATCATGAGGGTTGTAGTTTGGTGAGGCACTAGTAT